AATGATGTTACCTGCTTTGGTCCCCATCGCAGAGAAAGCTTAATTTTCCTCCTGGAAAACCATTGTTGCCAATCTTCAGGTGAGGGCTGGAGACCACTCAGAATTACAACTGATCTCCAGGAGGGAGAGGGGAGGAGATGGAAGGCTGAAATCAGAGGGACAGATAATGGCAGGTTGATGCTTGGCTGGGAAGGAGATAGGGTTGCCAACTCCAGGTTGGGAAATTCATGGAGATTTGAGGGGTGGAGCCTGGAGAGGGTGAGGTTTGAGGAGGGGTGGGACCTCAGACAGATACAATGCCATAGACTCCACCCCCCAAACCAGCCATTCCCTCCTGGGGAACCATCATTGCCAATCTCCAGGTGAGGGGTGGAGATCACTCAAAATTACAACTGATCTCCAGGAGGGAGGGCAGAAGTCAGCTGCAGTCAGAGGGGCAGATAACGGTACGTTTATGGTTAGTTGGGAAGCAGGGTTTTTGCTCACAAGTCTCCACAGCTTAGAGGAAGCAACAGAGGGTGCCCAACTGTAGAAATGACCCCACGGAGACCTCTATGCTGCATTTTCTGGCCCACATTATGTGACCTTGGACACCAGGTATTGTGTAACATAAGTTATGTGAGACTTCTACAATTGTGCCTTTCTATTACATACTTCTAATATGTACTTAACCTGCTTCCAGCCTATGCATTCGTTACACATCACATCTTTCTAGAGTTCGTTGTATTGCTTTCACAACGGACTTTAATGCTAGTAAAGTATAAAGTTAACTTCTGTAAGCTAAAAGTTTAGCAAGGTCTCCAAAATGGAACAATCCACAGTACGCTGGCAAAAATAAGAGCAGCTCTGGGAACATTAACAATACTATCCTAAGCAAAGTTATACCTTTCTAAGTCTACTAATGTCAGTGTACTTACAAGTGTATAACTGTGTTGAGGATTGTACTGTATGAGACTTTACTGTTCCAAATTACTTAGTGATGTTTTAGGGAGTGCATGATTTCTGAACTTTCTGATACAATCATGTAAAATCAAAGCATGATTTATGAATTAACATGTTTCTGTATATTATGTATTATTGAATATATAATACATACCTTTATTAGTCATTGCTATCAAATGCATGGTAAACGTGTTTAAAATTTCAGTGAGGAATAAGTTTTCTGCCTAAGCTGTTGTGAAGAGTGGATATGTCATCTGTCTGTTCCAGATGTGTTGCATGATGTTTCTGAAATGCATTCTTGCTACCTTTTTCATTTGTTTCTCCAATTCTAATCTCATCTTGATTTTTTCATACATTAATATTTGGCTTTTCTTTCCTTTCATTTCATCTTTTCCTCCACTGCCTAAATCCTCCCACCATCATGGCAGAAGAAGCTATCACTCCTACACTTATTACCTGTAAGTAATTTATATGTGCATCATCAGAGACATGCTTTCTGCCATGTTGTTCTGTGCATGAATAGTGAATACTAATATGATGCAACTTCCTTTGTGAAATTCAAAATACTTTGCAGCTTCATATGAAATAAAACATCTTCATATCATTGTATCCAAACTCACTTTTCCTTAAGGTGTCTTTTGCCACGTACTGTGTGTTTGACTGTTGTTTTTTTCATTGAAATGGTGGGAGGGTCAACTTCATTAATAAATATTCTGAAAGATAAATCTAGGGTATCTTTAACTCAAAGATCTTATGTTTGCTCGGAAGTAAGTCTCACTGAATTCAGTAGGACTTGCTGCCAAAAGAGTTTGCATAGGACTGCATTATAACTTTTTTGTTTTTGTTTTTTTCTCATTGAAAATCTGGTGATGTGTGTACATGTGCAACCATTTACCATAAATCCATTGCTGTATACATTTTAATCCCATTCATGAACAAAGATATTGCTTAAATGTCATTTAATAGTATGGAATATTATGGAATTGTTGCCATGTTGATCCCAGAGAATGAGATGTGCAAAGTAGCTAGGCAAATAAGTTCTCTACTTGGTCCCAGAAAGGCAAGTTCAGAGTTCTTTATTTTCTTCTTTATGTTTGTTTTTACAAGCATAAAGAGGCAGACAATAGACTTATTCGCCTGTTCTGTACTTTTTTCTACTGCTACTGTCAATGAGTGAGTCATAATTGCACCAGTAATCATATAGATAACTGGTAGAGGATCCTTTTTATTCAAGGAAGGGTTGTTGCTATCTTGCCAGGTGTGTAAGCTGCCCAGAGCATCCAGTTAGCCACAGAGGAAGCATAATGGTGGACTAGATGGACCGCTGGTACAGTCCATCAGGAGTTTATAATGTTCTTATGATGCTTTCCATGGGCTGAAAGAATAACAGTGAATAAGGCTGGAGGAAAAATTATCTTTGGGATATTTCCATTTGAAAAATACTGGTAGGTCATAGTAGCAGTCTTAAACTTCTATGAACTTATCTCGCATTTTGTTTGTGTCCAGGCACTGAGCATGAAGCTCTCTGTTTTCATTTAAAAAATCAGTGAAGGTTAGGTTGATCCTCCATTCTTAAAATGTTAAGAAAGTGTTACAAGTTTTTGATTGCACAGGTTGACACTGTACCTATACATTATGGGAGAGACTTGGAGTACTAGCATTTCGCCTTCAGTTATTTCTATTGCTGTTTTATACATTCAGTAAGGAAGCAGATATTATGCTGAGTTCTGCCATATCTGTCCTGGGTGCCTCCTCTTGAGCCAACAGGATTGGAGGACCAGCAAATATAGAAGAAAGTATGGTCAGGTTTGGATGGGAGGAAGAGTTGGGTTGGCTATGTATCTCTGCGGAGGCCTTGAAGCCACACCGGAGATGGCCCTGTCAGTACAATATTTCGGGGCTGATATATTGTAGTCAGCTGTTCTATAATACGTTTTACAGGTTACAGGGAATTTAACAGAATGAGCTTCTTGCATGTGTCTTGCAGAGCAGGCTGTTGTAACTGCACTGATCCATGCAACTATGTGTACCTTCAAAGCCATGGTTGCGTACAGCATCAGGAGCTCTAGGCTCTACAGACACAAGCTTTGACAAATGACAACTTTGGAGAGCAGACTCTGTGGTATCACATCCCTCCTCAAGTGGTTAAGACACTGAACTGCAGGCTGTGGAAGGTCAGTAGTTCAGCAGTTCGAGACCCGGGTGCCGCATGATGGAGTGAACTCCCATCTCTAGTTCCAGCTCCTGCCAACCTAGCAGTTCGAAAGCAAGAAATTGCAAGTAGATAAATAGGTACCACTTCGGTGGGAAGGTAGCAGCATTCCGTGCACCTTGGTGTTTAGTCATGCCGGCCACATGACCACGGAAATGTCTTCGGACAGCGTTGGCTCTTCGGCTTTGAAACTGAGATGAGCACCACAACCCTAGAGTCGGATTCGGCTGGCTTTCGAGCAAGGGAACCTTTACCTTTACCTTTATTCCTATGAATTATGTTAAAATATATAAGGAGACTGCTCACTGGATATTGAGCATGAGAGTAAGTATTGAGCAGCTGTTTCCTTCTTTTGTCATCTAGGGTTCAGTTAGTGTCAAGTGGAGAAAAGAGAGGTTGTATTATAATGACAAAATAGAAATTTCAATGGTGATTATTTTTTTTAATTCCTGTGTTGTTTCAAATCTGAAGCAGCTTTGTGACCGTGTCCAAATGAACAGCCTTAGAAAGTCCTGTAGCAGTTAATTAGGAACGAACTCTTTATTACAGCACCGTTTACATTTTTTTTAATGTATGGAAGCGTTTCTTAAAAGACTAGGCTATATTCCATGGTGAAACTACAACTAGGTAGGTAATTTATGTTGCTTAGGGACTGTAGTTTCATAACAAATTGGGCTGTTAGTTTTCAGGGTGATTTAATGAAATATTGAACCAAGTTCCAAGGGCAGAACCATGAGGAATGAGATGAATGTACACAAATCAGTGTGCAGTTTAAAAAAAAGAAGTACATAGGGGAAATTAAAATAGTTCATCCAGCAACTCAAATCTTATTCATGCTTTAGTTCTCCTCAGCTCACAGTTCTCCAGCCTCCAAAGTAAATTGTGTTCAATTAGACTGCTAGTGATACTCTTGTGATTATATTTTTGCTTGGACTTCAAAATTGTTATCCTTTGAATACCTTTTAAATCCTGCAGAAATATTTAAAGCTGAAATTCCTTTACTGGCCCTATTGGTGGGTGTTGTGACTAGATTCATGATAATCTTCCTTGAGGTGCCATTTGTCAGTATTCCTTTATATTTCTGCTAGGTAAATTGTCTCAACTTGAAGTGGTTGCCCATCATTCCCCCCCCCCCATTCTGCTCTTCAAAACATTCACTTTTATGGCACTATCTCATAATTTAAGTAGCCTTCTGGATTGGACAGCTTCTGTCCAGATGATACCAAACTGGTTTCGGACAATTTACACTGTAAAGGAATAAGCAACATTGGTCACAGAATATACAAGGCCATTTCTTTTCTTATTTAGTTTATTTTTTTAATCTATCATGAGTCCATAGATTCATTTGGAGGGCAAAACTCTGATGACTCAAAGAACAGAAACAAGGAAGTAATAAAACAGAAAGACAACTTCAATAGAAGGCAGTTGAATATAAAGCAATTAAGATAAGTAATCTCTGCTTGAAATGATTTCCCATAATTTTTCTTCCTTGACAGTGTTTTTGCAAGGTTTTTCTGATTTTCATGTTTGAAAGTACCGGTCACGTACACAAACTTATATCTTTTCAATGAAAACATTGATTTTTCTTTGACAATTTCCAAAAGAACTCAACTGATCCATATTTTAGAAGTCTGTTTGTAAACTCACAATTTATAGAAGTTCCCTACTACGTATTTCATGTGAGATTGATGATTGGATCCGCCAGCATGCAATTTTTATACAATAAGTAATGAATGGGTGTTCTCATATGGCTCCAGCGGCATGTTCAGGAAGGAGGTGAAGTCTTCATTCTTCCTCTGATGGAAGTTCCTCCCTTCCTTTGTGTTGTTTTATTCCCCAGTAGGGTAGGGTACAGCCCTTTTTTCCTGCTTAATAATACATTGGAGGATCCAGAAGAACAAAGTTTGAGTTCAGCAGCACCTTTAAGACCAATAAAGTTTAATTCCGGGTATAAGCTTTTGTGTGCATGTGCACTTCATCAGATACATCAGAGGATCTAGTAATGGATTCCCCAGTGTCACATGTGGTTTGGCTGAAGAAGACATTAAGCAATTTAGCGAAACATGTTACTACTACTTCTTTGTACATATGTATTTCTGTACTGCTATACAAACTAATTGCTGTTTACAGAACAAATAAATGGACAGACTCTGCCAAACTACAGTTTGGAGGTCTGTGAATGAGTAGGCTAAATGGGGAATGGAGGGAATATATGTATAAGAGAAGAAAGACGGGGAAAGAAGTTTGGTGGGAAATGATAAGGGTGCATTTTAAAACCAGGATTTTTTGGAGAGGACCTGTGGGTCAGTGGTAGAGCATCTGCTTGGCATGGGGTTGTCCAGCTTCCAGGTGGCACCTGGATATCTCCTGCTATTACAGTTGATCTCCAGATGACCATGATCAGTTCCCCTGGAGAAAATGGCTGCTTTGGTGGGTCCACTCTGTGGCATTATACCCTGCTGGTGTCCTTCTCCTCCCCAAACTCTGCCCTCCCCAGGCTCCACCTCCCAAATCCCCGGGTATTTCTCAACCCAGAGCTGGCAACTCTAGCTTGGCATCCAGAGGGTTCCAGGTTCAATCTGCAGCGAATAGGATCAGGTGGTAGGTGATGTGAGACACTGGAGAGCTGCTGCCAGTGTAAGTAGATGATACTGGCCTTGACAGACCAACGGTCTGGTCCCATAGAAGGCAGCTTCATGTGTGTCCATCTGCATTTAAATAGGCAGCAGAGTGGCGAGAAAAATTCCAAAGGAAGTAGAGTAGACTGCTGGAAGATGCTATTTTTTAAATGTAAAAGGAATATTCTGGATAGTACAGTATGTAGCCAGTACTGCACAAGTAAAAGGCAAACAATTGCTTATTTTTTCTTTGAAGGAACATTTCACCTATGAACCTTCTCATTGTAGCTCTGAGATTATAGCACTCAGGGAGTGGCGGAAGAGAGGGGCCAGGGATAATTATCCATAATCTCAGTACTAAATGGTGATTAAAATTACATAGTGCATTTGGCATGATTGTCAACTTGAAATCATAGGTGATTTCTTCGCAACAGCCTTCATAGCTTTGATAAAGTTTGACTTTCTAAATTTATCTCCAGAGCAGCATCCTCCAAGTGTTGCAGGAAAACACCAAAACAGGTTTTATCTTCTGATTCGCTCACAAGAACTCTAAGAGCCTAGGATATAAGCAGAAATAGGCTGGTCATATAGGTAACAATATGGTCCCAAGACTGCCACTGCCCAAAAC